GGCACTTAACAACAACAACAATGGCTAATGATTGTGAGCATTTCTTCATGTGCTTGTTAGTTGCCTGAATGTCTGCTTGGTGAAGTGTCTTTTTCACTTCTGCCTTGTCATTTCTTTTTATTTGATGTTTTGTTTTCTGCTGGGATATAGTTGCCTACAGTACCATTTTCAGTAGAGACTGGGTTTTTTTAATCTTAATATGGATAATTCTGACTGGTTTTATTTTAATGATTTGTTAATGGGTTGAATTTAAGTGCTTGAACTTTGTTTCTAACAGAGACCAAAATTTAGACAGTTGAACTTAAAAAAGTTTTATAATTATGTCTTCAAGGACACAAACACCAGTGTTCCTGTATTGAGCATTTTGATAACAGCTGTGTGCTGTAAGACCATTTAGATACTTTTAAAAGTGTAAGTGGAAAGGAGCAACTTTTTAATAAATATACATAGATTACCTTTTTAACATGACTCTGGGTAACTGAAGTTGAGGATGTTTTAAAATAAATTTGTAATTATTGAAATTTGGCTTTAATTGGAGGCCACTTCCTCAGTTTGTGTTACATCTCTCTTCTGTGACCATATCTTTTTCAGTTTGTATAGTAGGCATAGTGTAAATGTCATATAGACTAATGTAATGTTTATCACTAGTATAATGGAGGTTGTTAGTACTTTTGACACAGGAAGGATTTATTGAACAGAATATTACATGATTATAGAAATTGAGCAGAAATCGAATCCAGAGTATAGGTGGAATTTTGAGGCTTTTTAAAGGAGCCCCAATATGTTTTTGCTGTTGTAACTGGAAGGAAGGAAAAACATTGGTACATATGCAGGTAGATTTGTTGTTTTAGTGGGTTGGAACACGAGGGACTTCCCATGTAATAGTGTCCAGTAAAAAAAATAGTGTATGAAGGAAGTTTTTCAGCTGAGAATGGGGACCAGGGCAGAGGGTGTTGCAGGTCTTGAAAAAAATAAGAGTTGCGAAAAAGTTTCTATCAGGGAATAGGAAAAGAAACTTCTTAGGGCAATATAGTTGCCTTGAGAGACAGTGCTGATTTTAGTTTCGTTAACTTGAATTTATCTAGTTTTCAAGTTTTTATTATGAAATATTACAAAAATAAGGAGAATAGTTTACTGAACCATCATATCCCAATTGCCAAAGTTTAATCATTATCGACATTTTGCCATTCTTCGATCTTTTATTCTCTGCCTTCCTATCCCCACCTTTTCTTTTCATTAAGTATTTTAAAGCAAATCTCATTTTACCATTTTGCTCATACTTAAGTATATATCTCTAATTGATAATGACTTAAAGAAAATATAACTGCAACAGCACAGTTATTTCTAACAAATTAATAGTGATTCCCTGATACCATCTAATACCATTTCATTTTCAAATTTCTCTGGTTGCCTCCAAAATGCCTTGTGCTTTTAATAGTTGGTGTATTTGAATCAAGATTTGAAATCTTGGAATTAAAATGAGCACTATTGGCTTAGTTGTGTGTATTTCTCCATTGACTTTTAGTAACTTGTATTCAGGGTTTATAGTTGGGTTTGCCTAGGGATGGAGTTTTGTTTTGTGAGTATAATAAAGCGAAAGAGGCCAATGATTGAAGATTTCTCTTTATATCATGTACTAGGAACTTTAAGCTCATTAAAAGCAAAGAGGGACTTTGAGAGGAGAGGGAAGGCCCAAAAGAAAATAGAGTCAGTGGATTGTTTGCCTCAATGAGATTGGGAAATTGTTTGAATTTCACTTATGTAGGTAAGCTGGAAGAATTGGAGTAGGTGATCATAAAGTCGGGGGCTTGACAATGAGCCATCCCAAAGAGTGCTTTTCTGGTGATGATAGAGATCGAGGATATAGTCGTAGGATATATAAATGAGATTCATAGAGGAAATTTTATATAGAAAATGGTTTTTGGGGACAGGAAATCAAGGAACCAAGAATGTTTTTGAAGCACTTTCATCCTTAGGTTTCCATGAGTTTGCATTGAATCACTACTCCACACCACTACTTTACTGGGTACTTTCTGTCTGCTTCTCAGATGCAGATTTCCTTTTCCTCACTCATCATTTACATGATGTTGGAGCTCAAGGCCCTTTTCATCTCACTCGACTTAATCTCTTTAAGATTCATTCACATCTATATGAATAATTAAATCATATTTATTCAATATCTTACTCTAGCACTCATGATTTCTGGATCTTCCTGGCTACAGAACAAGGTGGTGTAAAGTCACGAAGGGTGGACATCAGGGTTGTATCCTTTCACATACTTATTCAGTCTGTATGCTGAGCAAATAAGCCAAGATGCTGGACTATATGAAGAAGAGTGTGGCATCAGGATTGGAGGAAGAATCATTAATAATCTGCAATATGTAGATGACACAACATTGGTTGCTGAAAGGGAAGATAAGTTGAAGCACTTAGTGATGCAGATCAAAGACTACATTCTTCAGTATGGATTACACCTCACCATAAAGAAAATGAAAATCCACCCAACTGGACCAATAAGTCATCATGATAAATGTAGAAAAGATTAAACATATCAGGGATTTCATATTACTTGGATCCACAATAAACACCCATGGAAGCAGCAGTCTAGAAATCAGATGTCCTATTGCACTGGGCAAATCTGCTGCGAAATATCTCTTTAAAGTGTTAAAGAACAAAGATTTGTTTGAAGACCATGATGCACTTAACCCTATCCGTGGTATTTTTAGTTGCCTCATATACAGGTGAAAGCTGGACAGTGAATAAAGGAAGACCGAAGAAGAGTTGTTGCCTTTTAATTGTGATGTTGGTGGAAAATACTGAAAATACCATGGATTGCCGGAAAGACGAACAAATCTGTCTTTGAAGAAGTGCATCACAATTCTCCTTGGAAAAGAGAATGTCCAGATTTTGTCTCACCTACTTTGGTCAGGCTGTCCAAAGGGATCCTTATGTGAAGAAGGTGGCAGATGGTTAGCAAAAAAGAGGAAGACCCTCAAGGAGGTGGATTGATGTAGTGGCTGCAACGATAGGCTCAAGCATAGCAAAGATTCTGAGGATGGTGCAGGACTGGTCAGGGGCAGTGCTTCATTCTGTTGTATATTGTTTTAGGGGTGCCTAGCACAGTGACCCAGCACATAGTGGACACTCAGTAATCATTTGGTGAATTTATGAATGGTTAACCCTGTCTTTATGTAGATCACTCTGGCCACAGCAAAATCTAAAGTTCTCATATAGAAGTGGCAGGTGCTCGACCATGTATCATTCTTGCATATTTGTTTTTATCAGGTGTTTCATTTTCATTGTCCTACTGTAATTTTGATTTTTATTGCCTATTTTGTTTACTTTTGTATTGAAAAAATAAATACGGCTACTTTGAAAATAAAAGAATGCAAATGTTATACTTTAGTTAACTAACTATTTGATAGTTGGAATTAATTAATTGAGCCCTTATTTATTTATGCAAGCATAGTTGTAAAGATTTTTGATATATTCTTATGACCCATATTTTAAAGTCTTCATTAACTCGATGTTTCCCCTCAGGAAATCCTCGGAGTGCCTCATGCTTCTGAACAGAGATATGATTCTGAATTCTTTAAGAAATTCAGAAATCAGAACATTGTCCTCTCAGCAAGAACTTATGCTCGGGTAATTTCTTTTTTCAAAATAAAATAATTGATTATTAACATTCTGTAAACTTTTGATATATATTATATGTATATTGTATATGTATTATATGTTCATACATATTATATGTATACACATTATATGTTTATTATGTACGTATTATATATACATATTATATGTATATACAGTTACATCTCCTCTTTATTTTGTGCTATTAATAGGTGTAAAGCTAATGACATGTTTTTTAATTGTTTATAATTCTAAGTTTTAAAAATAAGTAATTTTTACAGTGTTAGGCTGGGAAATTTGATATAGACAAGGAAAAATCAGGAACACTTCCAACCATTTCTTATGTTGTTGTTGTTGTTATGTGCCGTCGAGTCAACCCCAATTCATAGCGACCCCTCCTTGGGTTTCTGTGGCAGTTCACTACAGAAGTGGATTGCCCCATCTTCCTTCTGAGGAGTGGCCGGTGGGTTTGAACCACCAGCTTTCTGGTTAGCAGTCAAGTGCCTTTGGCACTATGCTACCAGAGCTCCCATAACTACTTCTTATAGAATTATGTAAAAAGTATAGTTTTAAGTTTTTGAATATTGTCATGCCAATTCACTCCTTTAAATCTAAGTCAACATTAGAAATTTTTCCTTTGCTTTTGTATAGGAAAGTAATGTACAAGCCTTAGAAATTCTCTTTACTTACCATGGCTCAGACCTGCTTCCTCATCGCCTTGCGATTCTCTCCAATTTTCCAGAAACTACTTCTCCACATGAGTATTCTGTATTGCTGCCTGAAGCTTGGTAAGTAAACATGTTAACTGAATTTCACCTTCTCTCTAAACTGTGACAATTTTTTTGTTTTATGCTGAAGACTTACAAATTAAAAAAAAGATAAAATTATTTTAGCTCTTAATTTTTTTTCCCTGATAATAAAATTATTTCTTCCTTATTTTTAAATGATCATTGTCAGAACTTTGGTGTTAATGATGATGACCAACGTTTATAGAATAATTACTGTGTATTTTGCACATATTTATATCTTGCCTCTTAAAAAAAGTATAATCCCTGTTACAGAAAGCTGTCACTTACAGAGGCTTTTAGTAGCTTATGTAGCTAGGATTTGAAATCATATTTAATTAGAGAGAAGTTTGGGAAATTCAGTAAGCTCTGAAAATATAGTTAATTAATTATTTTATACTATAATTAGTACCAAAAAGGAAATATTTGTTTTTTTTAATCAAGGTGAAGAAAAAGACAAAAAGTTTTAGATGTCCTTTTCATTTTCAGATAATTTTTTGTCGATCTCTGTGTATGTATGTTTATAAATATTTTAAAATATAATTATGTATCTTTATTTTTCCCTGTTTCTTTGCAAAATAGATCTAATCTGAATTGAAATGATTTTTTTTTACATGTAAGTTGTTAATATAGAGAAAAGGACTACTGCCTCTTATCATTTTTTTAAGTTAATTTTTCAGATTTGAATGTTTTATTGTCTTCTGATCAATTAGATAAGCATTTGACTTTAATCTGAAATTTCAGAATTGGTTTCCAAAAGTTTTGCAATACCTGATGCCATATAGTATTTTTTGGATGACCTTGATTCCTTTACGGGGCCTGCCAAAAACGTTGATGTTAAATTACAATAAGTACTTCAGGTACACTGTATCATAGTCAGAGAGTAGTTAGAAAATAAAATTATTTAAATAATTGTTTTCAGAAACATTGCTTAGAAAAATTCAAATGACCCTGATTTCTATATGTCCTTACATTATGTTCAGTTTTTTTTTTTTTTTTTAATTGCGATTTGGGTGAAAATTTACAGAGCAAATGCACTTTCCATACAGCAGTTCTCATGAAGCTTATCTCATAATATTGACTACAATTTACCCGA